GAAATATGTAATGGGCATCATGGATATGATCAGAGGCATCAATAGACCTCAAAAAAACAATCCCTACTGGACATTTCACAAGAAAATTCATTTGACTTCTTCTCTTCCTATCACTCCAAACATCAGTCATAAGAGAAAACCCATACTGAGCTCATGCATCTTTCGTAAGTTCTACAACTTCCTTCGTGGTATTCACTGCCTTTTTAAAAAAAGGCTCTGAAAGCTCCTATGGGGTTTGGGGTTTCATCCCAAGGCCAAATTGGCCAATTGCCCCTACTGCAGCATAAAAACTGCTCAAGCGAGAGGTATTGAAAGGAAAGCTCGCCTCATAAAACCATGTAGCAAAATAATACGCAGCTCTATCTCTCTCTTCCTTCTTAATTCTATTTTCAATGGTGGTTTGCCATTTTGTTTACTCTCTTGCAATCTCAAGGTCAAGCCGAGGTAAGAACCTATCCATAGGGACTCTAACCCGAGGCTTCTTAGTCTCAGAACCAGAAGGAATTACAACTCCCTTCCCCTTCCCCCTAATAATGGATTGCTCAACCTCTTAACATCCCCCCCAATCCTTTCCCATCACGATCATCATCATCAAAATTGACTCTAACCCCAGACTTAATCTCTACTATAGAGGCAAATCTCTCATTTTTTTTCATTTTCACCAAGTTCATAAAATCTTTATTTCCTCTGTAACAGCATCAGGAGTCTTTTTACATGGGGCAACATCCCCCCTGATACCGGCAAAATGTTTCTTGAACCGATTTATGACCCTTTTTGTATTCTTTTTACAAAAATTGCATCTTATGCAATTTTTATCTTTAGGATCTAGGTTATAGCCATATTTCCAACAGGGATCACCACTCCTATTAGATCCCGAAGAAGACAACTCAAAAATAATACAAATTACTAAAGCAATAAAAAAAATCACTTACTTTGAGTTTGATTGCTCAATCTTCAAACTTCCACCTCAAAGATGTTTCTAAATACTCAAAATCCTCTAAAACATCGCCTAATAACTTTGCAAAATATCAAAAAGTAAATATAATACCAATGGGTGATGTGTTTGATCAATTTTTGTTAACTATGAGTAACCCTTCGATATTAAAAAATTCACCACAATCTAGTTTTTGGTGGTTTTCTCTCTCTAAATTTGGCTCAAACAAGGTTTAGGTTTCAAATGAACCTAAAAACCTAATTTTTGGACCTAAAAACCTAATTTTTTGTCCTTAAAAACAAAACCAAAAGACGTAAAATGCCCACACCAATTTTTTTCCACCCCTGCGCGCGGCGCAGGCTGGGCGCTAGGCTGCCATCTAAGCAGGTTCCCTACCGCCTAAGTGGCCACCCAAGGATTGACCGCCCAGATTGGCTACTTAAGCCTGGGCAATGCGTCCAGGCCTTTCAGACCGCCCAAGCGCTAGGCGGTCCGCTTTTTGAATCACTAGATATGAGAGGTCATGAGCATTAGTTAGTAGCCTTATGTAATATCACCTAATAAATTCCTATCTTTTAGCATATTGCTGACATAGTACAATCAACACTACCTCTTGTTGTCGTTTATTATTGTTAGTTATTTAAAAAGCAGACCGCCCACTGGCTAGGCAACCATCTAGGCAGTCCAGAAGGCTGGGCACATCGCCCAGGATGCACCAGGCTTAAGTGGGAGGTCCCTGGGCGGTACAGCACCTGCCTAGGTGGGCGCCCAGCGCAAAGCAGAAATACCCTGTGTTGAGGGTTTTTCTTTTTGGTTTATTTTAGAAAAAAAAATTTGTTTTTAAGGTACGTTTTAGGTTTATTTGAAACTTAAACCCACTAGAGCCCATTTTTAGAGAGAGAAAAACCTCATAAAAAAACAAGATTTTCTAATTTTCATTTGATTGAAGTGTTTCTCAAAGTAACGGGAAATGGATCCAAACATCACCCATTAAGATTAGATTTAGTTTTAGAGATTTTTTAAAGGGTGTTTTTTAAGATTTTAGCACTAGAAAACATCTCAGAGATAAAAGTTTGGAAAACGGGCAATCAAAGTAAGTGCAAAAACTTTATTTTCTAAATTGCATGTATTGTTTTGAGATGTCTGCTTCAGGATCTAATCAAAGTGGTGATCCAGGTTGGAAATATGGATATAACCCGAATCCGAATGACAAAAATTGCATAAGATGCAATTATTGTGAAAATAATATAAAAGGGGGCATAAACCGGTTTAAGAAACATCTTGTCAGTATTAAGGGGAATTTTGCCCTTATAAAAATATTCCTAAAGCTCTCCGAGAGGAGATTAACCAATATATGAGTTCAGTAAAACACAAACAAGAACAAAATCCTTGTCATTTGGATAAAGAGGAGATTAACCAATATATGAGTTCAGTAAAACACGAACAGGAACAAAACCCTTGTCATTTGGATAGATCTATTTCTGGTTCTGTTAGAAGAAGTGATCCGAGTTGCAAGTATGGTTATAACCCGAAACCAAACGATAAAGGTGTAATTTTTGTGAAAAAGAAAGCAATGAGGGTATTAACCGATTCAAGAAACACCTTGCCAGTATTAAAGGAAATGTTGCTTCTTGTAAAAAGGATCCTGAAGCTATTCGGGATGAGATTAGACAATAC